GGAAAGAGGAAATGGCAGGAGTTTTGAGGAAAGAAATGCTCCAAACACAGATGCAGTGCCAATAGCTTTTGTAGTTTACCTCTTCTGGTGAAATAATTTTATTGTAAGGCTCTGGGGCCATCTATTAATGAACTTATTTGGGGGTGATAATGAACTGTGTCCGTATCTGTTTTGGTCCTCAGGCTCGATTCTTAGTATCGGTTATCTTCTGATAATCAACTGAAGATAGATGGCATTATAACATTGAAACAAAGCTGCAGATTGAACAAAAGTCTAGCCCACTTGCTATGAAATTCTCAGTTCTGTTCTTTAGTGCATGGGATGCAGTTAGTTCCGTTTACTAGTCTAATATCCCCCCCTTGGTATATTTTGGATGTCAAAAACAGGCTTTTTAAATGGCTTGATATGAACCATTTAATTAAAACCAGTGTACTCGTGTCAAGAACACTTTTCAAATAAACAATACATTCTTTTTGACTGTTACCTCACATGATATAATTTCTAACAAATTTTAACAAATAATAAGTATATGTTAAAAAATGTTACTATCATTCCTCTTCAAATTTATATGTTCGATTTGGGAGGTTTCTGCTGTCTATTTTTTATTGTTATCTCGTTTGGCGTAATAATCATACTGCAATTAAAAAATTAAACAGTTTATTTGTCTGTTGATTGTGTATCCGACTTCTCAACTCGGCGGCATGAGTTGATGGTCAAGTGTACTTTGGTTGTGCAGTGTAGACACAAAAGTCACGTATAAAATGTGAAAATCTAGAAGCTATAATGTGTGTTTGGATTGGTGGTGAGTTAAACCCACCATTATGTATTAGAGCAGCAAATAATTGCTTCTCAGGTGAAGTAATCATGATTTGTTTTCACCATGAATCTTTACTACCAAACCAAACACATTGGAAATACAAAGATTATTGCTCAACCTTTTCCACCTATGAGGAGAAATAGCAAACGGCATAACTGCAGTGAACTAACCATGATTTGTATTCACCATGGTTTTCCACCTTGACATGACATTTGTTGGCCTCAAGATGTGCTTTGCTCTTGTCTACAGTTTAACATTGAGCTTCTATATACTTTGACTTTTACAAATACAAGTTCTGAGTTCTGTAATTATAAATATACATCATTTAAAATCCTGTCACCTGGTATTTCTCATGCTATAATCGAAGGTGAAAAATTACAAAATAAATAATGATTAATCTAATAATTTTACAAGGGAATTCAATGAGAATCACAAAGAGGGTAATAGCCAAAGGTTGAATAGAGAGGATGCCAAAGATAAAAACCATGACATAAAGGCCATAATTGCAGATATCCTGTATCTGCCACAAAGCTTTTGCGGGCAAAAAGACCCATGTGTGTTGAGCAGGAGATCCACAACACTGGCTGTTGAGCAAGCTGCTGCTAGTGTGAGGGTTGATAACACCTATAGAAAATAAACTTGAGTCACTAATACATGGTTGCTAGTATCAATATACATTAACTGATAGATAAGTAATTCACTTCGATAAGAAACTACATACCCAATCTCCCACAACAATAATCAAAAGTATTCCTGGTTGACGAATGGGGCATTTGACTAGAACAGAATATCCATCTACCAATGCTAATGTGAAACTCCATGGTATGACCAACCCCATAATTGTCACCAAATAGCTTGGACACGGATAATGAACACAAAAATAAACCAGTTAATTAACAGAAGAATCAACAAATTCTATTGTGCTAATGATGCCTGCTCAGCTCCTACCATTTATGTGACGCAGATAACAGAAGCAGAATTGTAAGCATATTTCTTTTGAAGCAGAATTGTAAGCACATTTAACAAGTAAAAGAAAAGATTATCAACAAAAGATGCTCTGAACCTGAACTGCAGCTTTGTTGTGTAAGCAGTAAGATGGGAGAAAAAAGTAAGTTTTAAGATATGTAGTACATCGGTGCTTTTGTAGATTAAAATCATTAGATAAAGTACAGATTTTAGTAGCAAATTGGTCTTATTAAAGAAATATCACTAGAACAATGAAATTCAACATCCTTGTGTCTCATCACTCGGTTGCAAAACAAAAGCCAAAGGGTGGAAAAAAGTTAATGATAACTGAATCAATTCTCTCCACCTATCTATAGAGAAATAACTGCATTAGGATTAAGCAACCTGGCTCTAATAAGTTGAAATGCTTACTCCAAGAGGAATTTTGCTAAGAAATAAATCATCCACTACTAATATCATCCTATTCCTTGGCATAAAATTATTTATTCTTTTTACTGTTTATGAGCTTAATAAACTCGATGCTAGATGACATGATCTATGAAGAGCAAGCATATATATGAAAGAAAATGATGCATAAGAGAATCTAAAACACGGCACAATGTCAGGGAGACATAATCCTAGAAGGTCAAGCAAGAGAAACAAGAGCCACATAAATTTGAGATTAGAATACAACAAAGGGGGAACAGAACCAATGAAAAAGTAAAGGTACCAGAAAGCCGTGAAGCTGTAGAATTCAACCCCGAGAGACATAAAGAGAAGGGAAGCAGAAGAGAACATGGTCTGGCCCAATCTGAGACTGAAGCTGGCACTGGTGCCCACGGATCCAGGTACTTCATCCATTTACTTATTGCATGGGATTTCTATTCCTGGATTTTCCTCTTTCCTTGTGATATGCTACTATCATAGTTCTCCTTCAAGATCCAACCAAATTAGTCGTGTCTTCAACTTTTACTTCTTTCAGCTGAAGCCTTCTTGTGACACAAAAAATTATCTGTAGAAGATAAGATCACACAAGTCCCAAGGTTTGTACAAAATTCTGGAGCCCTTTTCTCCCTTGTGCTAAGGATGAAAGCCAAGGAAGAAAGGAAAGAAAATCCAATATGTAAGGACATGGGGTGCACTTTTTATGATGAAGATATCTCTCTTCCAAATAGAAACTTCATGATAGAATTCCGGCAAGTTTATGTTAGGTGCAAGTTTGGACTTTGCGCTAAGGCTTTTTCTGTCTTCTGATTGAGCAAAAATAATGTTGCTGCTTTAATTAAGATGATGCTGTTGACACATGGGCTACGTTTTTCGGTGGCATGTCCTCCCCTCGGTGCCGCTAAATATATGACATTTCTTTCAAAGGACTTTAATGGGGTGAGTCCTAACTTTTCTGTTTATACAAGAGTAAAATATTTTATTTTGAGATGAGATATATTCAAAAGGGTGATCAAAAAGATTTGATCCTTTTTGTTATTTACATTTATATTATATTAATATATGTTTGTTACATTTTTTTTATATAGTTTTGAACGGTCGCGAGTGTTACTTGATAGGGACCATACGAGACAAGAGAAGCATCTGTGTCCAAAATGAATTTATGATTGGAATGACTAGCGGCAAAATGTGTACCAATGCTTTCTAAAGAGGGAACTCGGATTCGCCATTTGTCAAAGCAGTATTGACCCCATTTTCATTGGAATGTGACGCTGTCATGTGAAACAAGTGCTAATAGAGATAAGAAACTAGAATGGTGGGACAAAAAGGCTTTATGGACTCTTAGTTCTGTACGTATGTGATCAACTCGGTATTCGAGTCTCAGTTTACTTTGTAATAAGGTTAATATATAATGTACATAAGTGAGAGATAATTGTCATATTAACTCCTAACTCATCAAATGATAAAGAAAATAGTACACGATTTTGCAACATCTCCGTAGCCTTCCAATTTCTTTTAGCTGCAATTATAAGATCGTTTCATTTTTTATTTTGGTATGCTATGTGATGTGTTGTACTTTTTTTGGATAGAGTAATAGTAAGGAAAACACTGTCGAAAAAACCAAAACGGCTGTTCACACCAGTTCAGTTGTGAACCAAAACTACCTACTGCTGCTAATCTGTCTAAATGATTTCAACATTAATAGTATGATTAAAAAAACAACATAGAAAAGATACGGATAATAAGTTTAGGGTTTTATATATTTGATCGAACAAAATATAAAAAGATAGCGAGAAAAATAAAATTAAACATCTCGCTTTCATTTATTTCTCCTATTCAAATTTTAAAATTTTCTTCTGTATTATCTTTGATTTTTTTTTTCTTCTTTCGATTAAACCACTCGATACGTAAAGCTATGGTCAGGAAGAAAAAAAACCCAATTCTCAGCCCAACTCTTTTTCCCTTTTGACTATATTTGAAAATTATATTTTGAAGATAAATGAAAAGGCAAAAAGTTATCTACGATGAACATTATCTAATTCAATAATTTTATAAAATGATAAATAAACATTTATTAGATATATTAATACTTTATTTCTTTTTACAAAATATATAACTCTAAAATTAAAAACTTAAATACTAGATTCTATTTTAACTTCCTCTAACATAAATATATATATATATATATATATAAGTTAATTACCTATACACTATTATTGTAAAAAAAATTTACACTAACAACCAATTATATCTTTTAATTGTGTCATGTCACTATTAAAAATAAATGTATTTATAGTAACATGGCACAATTGTAAAAAAAAATTATATTGACATTTATAAATGATTAACTATATATATATATATATATAAACAATCACAATCTCAAATGTAAACATAATTTTAATTTACATTCATAAAACAATCGACTACAAAGTACAAACCATATCTGTGACCATATCGATAGGTCACACGCATAGCCTACGAATTAAAACCAAAGAAAGTTGAACAAAAAACCCAAAAAATGCTAATAAAAATAAAAACTTTAGACCTGTTACCATAAGACAATAAAAAATATTGTTGTCAAATACTTTCCTCCACCCATATGACCTAGAATAAACGGTCCATATTCAGCAATTATAATCTATTTTCAAAACCAAAAACCTGAATTTTTTTTCCTACACGTATCCTTTTCCTTTTTCGGAGACAATCCTCTGAAAGATCTAACTATAATTATGTCTTCTCTAGTCCAACAATAACAATTATAATTATATTATAATCTTTAACAATTTCTATGATAAAAACAAAAGTATAGAAACAAAATTTAAAGATTACAAGTAGAAATTAACAATACATTTTCTCGTTACTTTATTATTTTAAATGCAAAATCATTCAGTACAAATAATTTCATAATTTTTTTCGTAAGTTTATTTTAAAAATATTATTCATTTAATCGAATTAAAAAATATATATTAGCTTAAAACAAACTTTCAACATACACCCCAAAATAAATTTCATATAATCAATTATAACAATAATTGACTACATCTATAAATGATTATTGAAATTGTCTATTTTTTCACTACTTATCCAAACTCACTTATATTCCAAGTGCGAAGGGAATATAATTAAACCATAAATATATCATCATGGCCTCACAATTTCAAGGGTTACAAAAACCATACTCCACGAGAATCCCGAACCCAAGGACATATCCTACTCCTCAAGACTAACTGCAGCAATAAAAAAGAATGTCACTATGTCAGCATAGAAAACACAATCAAACGAGGAAAATATCAGCATGGCCACTTAGAATTAAGATAAGCAAACAAAGGAAAGCACTGCTATAAACTTATACGGCATTACATGGGTAGAAATGGAATACACACCACACAGGATTTCCCTTATGTTTGTGAAAGAGCAGAGAAAAAATTAATAATTAAATATAAATATTCAAATGAACAACATAAATGAATAATATTCCTTCTAAAGGGTCACAACTAAAAGTGAGTACAAAATAGTGAGTGCACCACAACAAGATTGAACAGAAAATACATTAAACAGCTATTGGCAAGTACCATATACCACCTGAGACCATAAATTATGTATTTTGATAATTCATCAGTATTTGACAAGAAGTTCATCTTTAGCACACATCAGACAGATACTACCACCCTTCAAAGTTTAAACTCCCAGTTCATGCCATGGACTCATGGCATCACCTTATCTCATATACCAAGGAAAAAAGAACAACCAAGAAGGATATTTCTCTTAAAGAAAAAAGAAACAGAGAACTGCACGGTAAAGAGAGATCAAAGTGTACTCATCCAAAATTCAATTCATCACACAAGCCAATCATCTTCCAATACACCAATATTATCTTATCATTTCAATCTCAAAAAAATCAGTCATATCTCAATCATGGAAACCATTAGATTTACAAAGCATGCTGAAATAGGAAAAGTATATGTAGAAATAAATGTTATCACATGCATAGTTATGAAAATCTTGGATAGTGGCACATATTGTCTGTCTGAAAATGCTATAGACAGAATGGGTTTTTGAGGCCTATATGATATCATGGTAGCAACGCTTTAGAGTGCAATGGACACAATGGGGCCGCTAGGTCACAATTGAGAACCACTCTGGTATTTGAATCCCAAAGAGGCCCAGCGCCACTCCACTATCCCGCTGCAGCGCACCATTGACAGACGTGTTTGTTTATAATTTACTATTCGTGTCACCTATTCCCCCTATAAAACGTTTGCACAAGAGTGAGTGGTATAATTGGCATGAGTGCACGATCAGCATAACTATGTAATAAGTCTAGACTGCAACAATTGCTAGAAACAGAAGAATGTTCAGGATGCAAATAACGCATAAATCGTGTTGCTTGTTCTTGGACCATAATGAGTGTGGAAGAAACAAATGCCAATAATTTAAGAGAGAAAACTTAATGAAAAAATTCAGTGTGTTTGATTGTTGAGCATCAGGGATTTAAAGGGAGTAACATTTTCCCCAATTATAAGGGTAAGTATTACCCCAACTGGAGAAACTTTGTATCCAAATTTTCCCTTAACAGTGAACACCCTCACCTCTCTCTCAAGATGCCAATAGTAGTTTCGTAGGAGCTGTGAGATATGATTTTCCTTCACTCAACACAATAATAAAAATGTGCGATGCTGGCATTCCTACATAACTTTTGACAACAACACAGACGTAGTTCACAAAATAAACGCGCAAGGTACCTGACGAGGAAGATTGAGAACCTAAAGGTCGAGCTTAAGCTCCTCTTTCTCGGCGCTGAGAAAGTGCAGAACGTAAGGGGTGACGCGAATAACAACCACCCATGCTCCGAACATGGCGACGTGAGATTTCAGCTGCTTGAGTGCTGCAGCTTTATCTGGCTTGCGCATGAACATTCCCGGAAACATGATCGTAAACCCTTCCTCTCGATCTTCACTCCTCTTCTCTTCTCTTCTCTTCTCTTCAATTTAGGGTTTCTCTGCTCGCCGCTTGTATTTGCGTAGCACCCAAGGCCCATAAATGAGGAGCCCATCGGCCCATTTAACAATTTTCCTTTGATCCACGTGCACTTCAATGGACCTAATCCAAATTAAAAGCCACATATCCTCTACTACAAAATATACATACATCTATCATTTAATTGGAACGGATACATATTCTTTTTTATTAAATAGAACTAATACTTTACTTCAAATAATGTATAATGTGTAAGATCAAAGTTTAATGGTGAACATAATTATTGAAAAAAATAAAAGTTATTAAAAACATAATTATTTTAGGTGAATATAAAATATTGTATGATAAATTTTACCAAAATTTCAAAGTTATACTTATTTTTAATTTAAAGATGAATTTATTTGATTAGCTAAGTTATTAATTGGTAAAAAATAACATTTAAAGCATTAATTGATAGCCAAAAATAGAGCGTTATATAAATTTATTAATAATTTTTAATTTCCATAAGTGTCTTAATTAATGGATGAGGTGTGGGTAAAAGAAAGCGAGAGTAGAGCGTGGAAAAAAAGGGAGAAGCGGAGGGTTAGGCAAAACAAGAGCAAAGTGGAGGTGTCTCCGTGGAGTGGAGCAGTGCGTAAAAAGAAAAGAAAAAAAGAAAAGAGAAGCAAGGAGAGTCAACGGTTGTATGTGTTTGCATTAAACCCAATTGCAGAGTCATAAAACTTTCTCTCTCTCAACTCTCAAGTCTCAACTAAAACCCTGTTACTGCTACCATTCTCATCACACTTGCATCATGATACCTCCTTCTCAGCCACCCCAATGGGGCCCATCGCCCACACCAATCCTCAACAACTCCTTCCTCCCACCGCCGTCAAATTCCCCCGCGGTTGACTTCAGTCCGCCGCTCATAGCAATGGTCGTCGTCGTCGCCGCCGCCTTTCTCCTCGTCACCTACTCCCGCCTCATCGCGCGCCACCTCCGCCCGCCAATCCACCGACTGCGCCGCAGATTCCGCCGCCGCCGCCGATTCCTGGCGTCCTCCGTCGGCGACCTGGAGTCCCTCCCCTACGAATCGCCGCTGGACGGACCGCACGTGTTCTCCCCCTACGGTTTGGACGAAACGGTGATCAAAACGATACCGTTTTCGCTCTACACCGCCAAATACGACGCGCGTTTCGAAGAGTCTTGCAACGACTGCGCCGTTTGCTTGCTGGAATTCGAAGACGACGATTACGTGAGAACACTCCCCGTTTGCTCCCACACCTTCCACGTGGACTGCATCGACGCGTGGCTTCGCTCGCACGCTAACTGTCCTCTCTGCCGCGCCGGAGTTCTCTGCGCCGATTCTCCTTTTACTCCGATGATGGCCGCCAGAATCCGACCAAGCTTCGACGACGACACAATTCTCCACCGCATAAGTATAGATCCCCTCCCCGATCCGCCGCCTCCGCCGGTGATCTCCGGCACGCCGGAGATCACGCCGTGCATCGAGGAGAATTCCCCGAGGAGGAACCTAAACCAGAATCACGTGAATACGAATTCAGAGGAATGTTTTAGGGATTTTCTGCTGAAGAGGTCTTATTCGTTTGGGTTTGAGCGGAGTTTGGCGTCGGAGAGGATGGTGATGGAACCGGCGACGGCTTCGCCGTGGCGGTACCGGCGAGGGAGTGGAAGTTTCTGGAGCAAGAGGCCTTCGCCGTTTGGGTCGTTGGGGAAGGCGAGGGTGTTTTCGTTTAGGTATTATAGGGGGATGAAGTCACCGTTTTTACGGCGGAGGGGTTTTTTTCCGTTGTCGGAGTCGAGCGTGAGGTACGGCGGCGGCGGGAGTTCGTCGCGGCGGAGCAAGTCGATGGCGAGTCCGATGTTTCTGCGGTCGAGCCGGTTGAGGTGCGGGGACCCCGAGGCGCTGTTGTCGCCGGAGAGGTTCAACCGGAGGTGAGAGGAGGGATGGATTGCAATGGGACACGTGGCAGGTAGTGATTGGTGGAAGGGGGTGGGAGGGTTGATCGGAGTGGTGACGGTGTGGGTCGCATGCGTTATAATTTAATGAGACTGGTCTGGCAATTTGTAGAGAGTCATTAATGGATGGTAGGAAGAGCATTAAATTTAAATTTAGAGAGAGAGAGCGAGAGCGAGAGTGAAATGAATGTGAACAAGTGAAGAGGGTTTTATTTTTTAATCTCTCTCTCTCTCTATTATTCTCTGTGTCTAGGCTCAGACTGTGGAGGGTTTTTAAAGAGGAGGCTCATAAATGAGTATGAGGATTGGCAAATGGCACCGATTGAAAGGAAAGCACCCATGTGGCCATGTGGTAGGGAAATGAGAGAGTATGAGAGTGAGAGTCTCTAGGTTTATGACCACAGACGCAAGCCATTAATTGTGGCATTGGCCATGCTGACAAGCAACATTGCATGATTCTGCTGTGAATTCTTTCATCGTCAGATAATTAATGCCATTTATAACATTTTCAATTCTCGAATCTTTTCTCATCAATGCCATCTCCCATTTCCACTTTTCTCTTTTTAACCCTTTGGGATTGGATTCGGGAAACTAAACTCATTATAACTCACTCTACTAATCACTACATTTCTTTCTTCTTTTTTTTTTTTTACTTTCTTAAAGCAAATAAAAAATCACTTAGGCAGAATTTTGTAGATCTGCCTAAGTGACTCTCAATGTTGAAATCCATGAATCCATTTTTTATTTTATCTTTATTTGACGAAACAGATCTAGAGACACAGTCCACCTTTGGCATTTTGGCAACCAGTAGTAGCTTTTGGATTTGTTTCTCTTTTACCCATATTTAGCAATAGTTATTGTGCAGCTATGAAGCACAGTTACCGTGAACTTCATAATCTGTCTTCAAGCCCAAACCTAACGTTTCTGAGTTGTAAGTGTACAATCCGGCCCATTACATGAGAAGTTGGGTCCAAACTGCACAACGAAATATGGCCATATCTTTCCTCTTTGTTGCATTTTTGTTTTGTTCGAAAAGCCAACGGAAAGGATACGCAATTCGTCTGAGACATGCATGGACATCGAGTTAAGAGGTTTCATAATCAAAATTCTGTAACAGTGTCCATCTGTTGGGGTCACATGCACTATTAATGTTGCAGCCGACATTAAAGATAGCACAAAAAGTTAGGTTTGAATTTTAATTTTTCATTTGCTCTCAGATATTTTACTTATGATTGATTCTTAATAAAACTAGAAGAACACAACAAAATAAGTAGACTACTTTCTATTCGTGCGTGTCAAACTCTACTTTAAATGTTCACTATTCATTCCATAATAATCTATATTCTACTTCTTTTTCAATTGACTGCTAATTTGATTAGGCCAGTTTTCGATTATTCAAACAACATTATTTATTGACTAATTTTGGGAAGGAACTACTTCACACACGCGCGAATACATATAAAAATTAGAACAATTCATTCCAATGCTCCTCAATTTTTTTGGGACTCGCCTAATTCACAAAAATGTTTCTAAGAAAGTTTGACATAGATGTTTGATAAAGGGTCCACATCACGTGCTCGCGAAATAACACTGTCAAGTTAAATGCATCTATTTAGATTGCCATGAAAATAAATGTATTTCTATATCCAATGTCTAAAAAGGACAAGATCCACTTTCTCATAAGGCCAAACGCAGAAACAGGTTTATTTGCTGAGTATTTAATCAAGGTTAGCACAATCATCTAGTGTTGTAACATGATCGATGCCCATCGACTCAATGTTTGATAATATTGAACTTTGACTAATTAATCACTATGCTTAGGATATGGGAAGATCCAAGTGCATTTGATTTAACCTAAGGTGCTGCATATACTATTGGTTAGAGATTAAATTACGTAATTGGTTTCTACACAATTGGAAATTTTTAAGTAGGTTGCTAATTTTTTTTAATTGAGTTCTTAAATAGCAAATATGTTCTGTTACAAGTTACAACAAAGATAAAGATGGCTATGATAGAAGTAGCACCTAGAAACAAGTTCCGTTACAAGTTACAACAGTTCCTAGTTTCCCACGAGGCGAACTAACTTGTTGCATGAGTTGTTTCGGAATTTGGATATTTACAAGTCAAAAATATTAATTTAACCTAGTCTTGTAAGCAAGTCACTCGAGTTGCGTAACCTATCTGTACCGTCTAGGTAAAAATCCGACTGATCTCTACTCGGTCGATACACAACTAAGTTACCAAGCCACAAGCCCTCTCGCCTTATCGGCTCAGGGCTGGAAGGCTAGTGTACCGTCTAGGTAAAAATCTGACTGATCTCTACTCGATCGATACACGACTAAGTTACCAGGCCACAAGCCCTCTCGCCTTATCGGCTCAGGGCTGGAAGGCTAGTGTACCGTCTAGGTAAAAACCCGACTAGTGTACCATCTAGGTAAAAATTCGACTAGTGTACCATCTAGGTAAAAATTCGACTAGTGTACCATCTAGGTAAAAACCCGACTAGTGTACCATTTAGGTAAAAATCCGACTTGATCCTCTGTCTGATTGGAAGCCACTCGGCCTACAACCGAGTTGACATCCCTACGCGAGCCGACTCCACTCGCCTATAAGGGGGCTGCTCGGCGCCTACCCGATTGGACCCATGGCACAAGCCTAGTCGGTCAAAATCCGACTTGACTAATCCTCACTCATTGCGCGGCCTCGTAGCAAGAACGGTTAAGGAAATCTCTGCCTCGTAGCAAGAACGGTTGAGGAAATCCCTATGTTCTCGGGGCCCATAAGGCCCATGGACGACGAAGTATAAAACCTAAAACCCTAAGACTAAGAAGGCAGATTACACTTTTGAATGCTCTAGCTTTGAGGCTTGATCTAGGCAGAAACCCTAGTCCATCCCTTGGCTGGAAAACTATTTAAAATGTACTTTTTCTTCTTTTTTGGTTTATTTCTTTATATATAATTTTGTTTTCGCTACATGCATGATTCAATTCATCGTTAGCCCAATTGTTAAAAAGTCAATATTTGGGAAGGCACGGTAAAGAATACAGGAAACAAATCGTGATGGGAAAAAGATATAAAAAGATTATAAAAAAAAGTAAAATTCTTAAACCGAAATTGAAAAGAGGAATTATGGGTCCCAATTGATGAATGCGGGTCAGCCAAGTAGCTTAATCTTTAATCAGTTGCCATAATTAGGTTCACTCTACTTTAGAGTTCATATAGTGGTCATCGCGTTTTTTTTCCTGAATTAGGATTATTACATTCAAATTTGAATCGTTACTTTTATTCTTTAAAAAAAAACAATTTCATAAATTAAGAATAAAAAAGTATTTATAAATTATTTTTAATCTTAATATCTAAATGTGAGACTTTTTTATATTCAAATTCTAATCATATATCACTCCATGCCTTGATGATGCTTACTTTATGTGAGAGAGATACTACGCTTAAACCTCTAGAATCTACATCATTGTTATACTGTAGATATAAAAAATTAGTTCGATTGAGTATGGAAATATATTTTACTTTTAAAAGATTAGCATCAAAGTAAAAATTGGAAGACAGAAAATCTAAGTGTAGATATCATTAATCGTGGAAAATAAATAAAAAGTTATTGATGAGTTCTAGAATACTAGGAGCTGGCATTTATCCTAACTTAAATTTAGGATCTTTTGTCCACAAAGTAATTAATAAAGCCTTATATACTTACGCTTCTCAACTGTATTTGGTTTCTAATTATTATTTCAATTTATTTTATTTTATTTTCTTCCTCTGCAAATTATTCTCTTGATATACACAATATTCATACTGTGTTATTTTCTTTTTATATTTTCCCCTGTAAATATAAGTTGTAACCACAAACTAGCAATCAACGAGGGTGCAACAAATTAAGTTGTAGAAGTCTGAAATTTGTTACAATTTTTGTAATTTCTACTTATTAAAAAAATAACGTTGATGACATTGCTTTTAACACTCTATTTCTAATATTTATTATTGTAAATTTATTATATATAAAAAATTATTCCTCTTAGTTAGACAAAACAACTAAATTTCAACGTGCAAGTATATATTTAAAAATAACTTAATTTTGAATTATAAAAGTTTGATTTAACTAAGTTCAAGTATGAGTACTAATTTTTTCAATTTGAAGAGTTAGATTGAGTTTTGGGTTCTAACTAATAGATACTTTTATATCTGTTTTGAATTTGAACATGCTTGCCTTTTACGGAGTATAAGAGAGCAAAATTCATAATATTATCATGCCTACTTTTCATTTAATGATGAGATCACCAAAATTTAAGGTTTTAAATAAATTTTTTTAATAATAAAGAAAATATATTATAAAAGAGTATTACTAACATTTTACTTAATATTTAAGCTTAATTAATAAGGTAAAAATGTGTTTAGATGATTTTAGATAAAGATGATAAATAAGTTAGGTATGATAGGTTAGCTCATCTAGCTTGTCAAATTAAATAGGTGGGATGGGAAAGTATGTCCTAGTGGCTAGCCTATGGCATCTAGTCTTGCCCAACCCCTACATTGGTCCAACATGCTTCTTGTAAGATTAGGTGAGTTCTCCTATTAAAGCACTTGTTTAAAAATAAATATTTAATATTTTTTTTGAAACCTAAGTATTACATATTAATATATAATTAGTTGTCAAGAAAATGTTTTATACATGTGTTAAAGTAAGTCTAACATAAGTAAGAAAACCTTAAATATAATGGATTATAATTTTAAGTTTTAAAATATAGTTAATTTTTTTTCTAAATAATGAAAAAATTATTTTATACTAAGCATAATAGATTACTAATATACTTTAAATTATTTTACTAAATTTGTTAACCTTGATTAATATTAAAATAAAATTCTTGTTTTTTTTTAAATTTTTTTTGCATGCTAGTCCACCCTTAGATGAGGTGGAGTATAATTTTAAATCCATCATTATCAAGCGAGCTAGTCATCCCGTTTAATTTTTGACAATAAATTGATGAGAGTGAAGTCTAAACAACATAGATTGATCTATTTTGTTACTCGTGCCTTTGATTTTGAGATTTTAAGTATTTTGGATATAAATATTTTAAGTATATTTTAAAAAACCATTGCATCAAAACACACTATCTATTAAAACACGTTATATACCGTATGGTGCCGAACAGGACGAATGATCCGAACGCTTTGCATACCCGAACCCGCCGAATACCCGACA